GTTGGATCGGAACCAACCTATAACTGTCCCTCCAGTGGGTTTTCAGAGGGAGTTAATAGTACAGGGGTTTACTCAACCTTCTCCCGAAGAGTGGCTGGTGGTCTCAAACCACGTGCCTTTGGTACTGCAGCACAGCTTTCTACCACTAAAGCTACCAGAGAAAAATCAGCCATTAGAAATCCCTGGAGCTCAATTCTAGGCTGACACACCCGAGGTGACCGTGAGTCAGAGTTGCCTCAGTAGCTACTCTTTCAGTATTTGGAACATCCTTAAAAAATGCACACATGATCAGTGTTAACCCAATAGACAAATAAATGTAGGAGTGCAGGTGTGAATAGGAGAATGGCCACGGTGGAAAGCAGAGCAGAAATGGACATCCTTCCTGCAGATGGAAGAATCTGGAATAATTAAAATACTTTTCCTTCGCTGGTTTGCAATCATGCTCCAGCAGGATTCCCAAGATCACCCTCAGGTCACCTTGTTTCTGGGCCTTGAATGTTCCTGGCCTCTGTGGTTGTACATTGACAACCAGTTTGTTTACGCTCACACTTGGCTGTGCTTCCAAGCGAGGCCTGATGAGATTAACTCGTGGTGGCAAGCTTTCTCCTTCTTGCTTGTTCCTCAGCACACGAACAAGCTTGGATGCCCTCTGCACTAGATGCAGGGTGCTTGGGGTCGGTAGTGGTTTGGCTCCAGTATAAGAGGTTTGTGATTAGCTGCTAACCTAAAGATGGGTAATTCAAACCCATTTAGTGGCTCCAGTGAAGAACAGTCAAATAATCTGCTTCCACAGAGATTCAAGCCAAGGAAATTCTACAGTAGGTTTCATGTATGTTTAGTACATGGGCTCTCCATGAGTCAGTATTTACTCCACAGCCAATGGATTTGCTTTTGTGTGCCAAACTCTGTACATATATTACCTTAGTTAATATTCCCTACCAAATCCCACCTTAAATTATTGAGGAGCAGTGATGTCCGTTTGAGGACTAAGGTGAATATTATTCAGACCTTGGTCTTTTTGATCACTTGCTGTGCATCTGAGAGCTGGACGGTGAATAAGGATGACAGAAGAATTGGTGCCTTTGTATGATGTTAGAGAAGAACACTGACCATCCCGTGGACGGCCAAAAGAATACGGATATGGCTTGGAGAAAGTGCAGCCAGAGTGCTCCTTGGAGGCAAAGATGATAAAGCTTCGCCATAAATAGTTTGGGCATGCTGTTAGGAAAAGCTATTCCTGGAAGAGGAACATCATGCTTGGAAAGGTGGAGGGATGGCAGAAGAGAGGAAAACTCTCAGTGAGGCAGATTGACACAGTGCCTGCAGCAGTGGGCTCAATTGTGTCAGGAAGTATGAGAGTGTCACAGGATAGGACGGAGTTCAGATCTGTCATTCGTAAGTCACCATGGGTTGTGTTCAGATCGAAGGCATCTAACAACAATAACAACCACCCCCCCCACCAGAGAGGAAGCCCCTCAACGAGCTTCCACAGTGACTACCATGTGGGCCTGAGCAGGACAGAAATGGTTCAGACCAGTCATTCGTGGAGTTGCTGAGTCATAGCCGACTCAGTGACCTCCAACAGCAACAGCCATCCTTCAGGGAAGATGTAATTACCCTCCTTTTACACATGAGAAAACACAGAGAGATGAAACAAATTTCCCAAGGTCACAGAGCTAGTGAATTGGCATGCATAGGAGTCAAATTAGGCTAATTTGTGTGTACATGGTCTTTCTCCATCCCTTGTTGCCTTTTATAAATGCCACAGATGAGCAATCCAGGAGTGTTTCTGCCAATTGGCTTCTCAGTCAGCCTCATATTCATTCATTTCTTCAACAAGCATTTGGCCACTACATAATGAAATCTGAAAATTCCACCTCCAGGCTGTCCCGCACAAGGAGACAATTGATGTGGGAAAATTCACTAGAAAACAGTGGACTTTTCAGAGTCAGAGTGGCAGCTTTGTCCCTGGTTTGTTAAGGTCTTCCCCCCACCCCCTCTGTTCTATTCTGGGCCTCAGTGCTAATGAGCTATGTGACTCTCTGAGCCTCCACTATTGAAGAGGCAGCCATGAACCTTGGGGGAGGAGACAAGCAAGGCTTCTTTCTCTTCTTGCTCTTTTCTCAGGATGCATTCATGCAAATATTCAGCATGTAATCTAGTTTTCTTCTCCACAGCCCAACTTCCTGGGCTGTGAGGCCAAGGAGAGACACTTCCTTCTACAAGGTGAAGTGGACTGTCTGCATTTGGAACACATTCCTCCTCCAAAACACAATTCCAAAACCACCAAACCAAACCCACTCTCATCAAGGGACTGCCATCATAGAACAATAGAACATCCCCATGGGGGTCCAAAAGCTGTAATCTTGAGGGAAGAGGCTTTCACATCTTTCTCCCATGGAGTAGCTGGTAGGTATGAACCGCTGACCTTCTGGTTAGCAAGTAAACTCTTAACCACCGAACCCCCAGAGTTCCTTAAAAACATCATTATATAAACTCTATTCTATTACCAATAAGAGTTTAGGCCGCTGGCTCGATGCCTGGTACAGAGTACAGAGAAGTCACTCAATAAATATTTGTGGAATTGAATTACATTAGACTAATCAAGTGAACATTGGATCAGAGGATAGTACTCACTGGCAAACAACTTGTCCCTGAACTCTCTTACCTTTTGGGTAACTGGGATCTGAAACAGGACGCTGGCAGCTACTGCATAGACCCAACTGCAGAGTGAAATGAAAAGCAGATGACACACCAAGGTCAAGGTCTTGATTTACTACTCCACATAGTTGCTGTTATTGTTAGTCAAGTTGGCCGAGACTCATAGTGATCCTATGAACAACAGATCAAAATCTGGCCTCATTCCTGACCTTTCTCATAATCTCCACCATGCGCAAACCTATTTTTGCAGCTATTGTACCAATCCATCTCCTTGAGGGTCTTCCTATCTTTTACCAGCCTTCTCCTTTTATATGTATTATTCATGATGCAGACTCCTTTGACTGTGAATCATAACAAACTATTGCTAACATCAAGAAGAATGGGAGTTCCAAAAATACTTAATTATACGAAAACTAGATCTAGACCTAGACCAAGAAGCTATTATCCAGACAGGATAATGGAGCACTGCATGATTTAAAATGAAGAAAGGTGTGCATAAGGGCTGTATCCTTTCCCTATACTTGTTCAATCTGTAAGGTGAACAAATTACTTAAAGTAATTGGACTTTATGTAGTAGAATGAGGCATTAAGACTGGAGGAAGACTCACTGACAACCTGCACTATATGGATAACACAGTCTTGATTGCTGAAAGTGAGGAGGATTTTAAATACTTGCTCAGAAGACCAAAGAGTACAGCCTTCAATATGTATTACATCTCAGCATCTGAAAATAAAAATCCTTATCACAAGGCCAATAAACAACATCATGATGATTTTGTCTTACTTGGATCCACAATCAACATCCATGGTACCAGCAATCAAGAATCCAAAGATGTGTTGCACTTGGAAAATCTTTTGTCAGTGATGTCTCTAAAGTGAAGAGCAATGATATCATGTTAAAGATTAAGGTGCACCTGATTCAGACCATGCTCTTTCCAGTAACCTGCTATGCATCTGAGAGCTGCACACTGAATAAGGGTAATAGATGAGGCACAAGTGCCTTTGTTTTGGTGTTATAGAAGAGTGTTGAATATCCCATGGATAGCTAAAAGAACAAACATGTGTTGGAGAAAGTGAAGCTAGAGCGCTTCCTAGAGGCAAGGATGGTGAAGTTTCATTTCACATACTTTGGGCATGTTGTTAGGAGAGACTGTTACTTAGAAAGGACATCATTCTTGGGAAGGTGGATGTTCAGCAGAAAAGAGAAAGGCACTCTGTCGGGTAGATTGACAGGTTCTGCAGCAATGGGATCTAGTCTATCAGAGATGATAAGGATGGCACAGAAGAGGACAGGGTTCAGATCTACTATCTGTAGAGTTGCTATGCCAATTCAATAGCACTTAACAACAACATATTAGTCTTGGAATTTTAGGCATCTCCTTTAATCTCTTCTTTGAGGCCCAATTTTCTTCAGTGTTATGTTTAAAGATACACGGTAAAAAGTTAACAAGTCCTTCCTTTTGTTCTTCATACTATTGTGCTGATTACGGATACCTTACTGCGTGTTGTTGTTGTTGTTGTTATGTGCCATCGAATTACCTACAACTCATAGTGACACTATGTACAACAGCCCTAAAGCCTTCTCTATCCTGTGCCAAGCTTATTGTCTCTGACACACCTACCCCATTACCCCAGTAACTGAATCAATCCATCTCATTGAGGGTCTTCCTCTCTTGCACGGTCCCTCCACCCTCCCAAGCATGACATCCCTCTCCAAGGACTGATCCCACCTTCAATATTTCCAAAGTATGACAGACAAAACCTTAGAATCCTTGCCTTCAAGGAGCAGCCTCATCTCACCCTCTGTAGGACAAACCCTGTTTGTTCTCCTAGCCGTCCATGGTGTATTCAATACTCTTTTCCAGCACTACAGCTCAAAGGCATCAATTCTCCTATCATCCCTAGTCACTGTCCCGATTTCTGATGCATAGCAAGTAATTGCAAAGACTATGACCTGGATCAGGCACACCTTAGTCTACAGACTGACATCATTGCTCTTCAGTACTTTGGAGAGGTCTCTGACAGCAAACTTTCCCAATATGATTTGTCTTTTAATTTCCTGTCTGCTGGTACCAAAAGTATTGATTGTGGATTCAAGCAAACTAAAGCTGTTAATAATCTCAATCTCTTCAACATCTATAGCACTTTAAAACAAACAAATAAACATATGGGCTAGCCGGGAAATCTACCACCTTTCCTAATATTGTCTTGTTCTGTTTAAAAAAACTGCATCCTAAGTTCCAAAGAACTTTTGCAAAGCTAGTCAATTATGAAGCACTGTTGCCTGTTCATAGTTGTTTTATTTTCTCCTTTGTCTTGTTATTCTTTGATGCTTCTAGCTATAACCTGGGCAGCGGTGTGGCATCCATCATGGTGAATGGATCCTTCAACGATGGTCGTTGGCACCGGGTCAAGGCTGTTAGGTGAGTACCTACAACCACACAAGACAGAGGTTTTCCAAAGTTAGGGTGTTGTATCATATTCTTTTTTAGTCTTACTTTCCACTATCTGCCTTGGGTAGCACCCTAAGGCTTTGTTCCAGGCCACTCAGGACAGTTTGCCACCAAGTCTTTTCTGTATCTTTCAGATAGTGAGAGGCCAGAGAAACTGGACCCCAGATCTTCACTAATGGCTCGCTAGTAGTTTGTTGTTAGGTCCTTTTAAGTCAGTTTCAATTCATAACAACCATATGTGCAACAGAGCAAACCCCACCCACTCCTGCCCCATCCTCTTTGCCTTACTTAAGCCCATCAGTTCAGTCACTACATCGGTGCATCTCGTAGAAGATCTTGCTCTCTTTTGCTGACCCTTCATTTCTTAAAGCACGTTATCCTTCTCCAGAGGCAGGATCCTTCTGATAATGTGCCCAGTTGCGTGAGACCAAGTCTCACCATCTTTATTCCAAGAAGCAAGCTGACTTCACTTCTTCCCAGTTGGATTTATTCATTCTTTTGGCTGTGCGTTCAATGTTTTGCCAATATTGCTAACCGAAGGCATTGATCCTTCTTCCATCATCCTTATTCACTGTCCAGCTTTCCCATGCAGACCTGGAGGAGTGTCTTGGCATTTAATGAGGTGAAATTTCATCACATATGGACTTGGAGGAAAGCTTCAAATCTCATTATGCAGACAGTTGCTCATTTTTCTTTCCTTTCCCATTATATTACCTGCATCTTAGACATTGTGTTTGCTCTGTCCCATTTTCCCAATTACCTAAATTCCACCCCTCGAATTAATATCCTGGTACTTGTGTTAATCATTTCATTGATACCTGTGTTAATCATTTCATTGGCTCTTCATCATTTTATTGCTATGTCTGTAGTTTTAAACAGTATATTTTGAGGAACTGAGTGGCTATTCCAAATTTAAGATAATGTCAATTCTTCTACCATCAGATCCCAAGAGGACATAAGCTAAATGGAGCCCCAACATTCTTCCAAATTTTCATGGCCCTTTCTGGAGTTGCCTTTTCTAGGAGTCATTGAGTGTCATAAATGATTAAGTGGCTGGCTACTACTCAACCAGTTCAAATCTACCCTAAGGCACTTCTGAAAGAAAAAAAAAAAGAATTATGATCTATTTTCTCAAAATCCTATGGAGTAGAGTGTAAGTCTGAAACATATGAGGTCACCTTGAGTTGGAATCAACAGCAACTGATTTGGTTGAATTTCTTGTTAGGTGAAGTCAGGAGTGAGTCTGGGAAAAAGAAGGTTTACCATGGTCAGAGTGTTTGTCAATTTCCTAGAGCTCATATCTCTGCTACATCTCAGTCTGACTCTTCATCTTCCGAGATGATTCTCACTCTCTCATCTGATTTCCATGATCCACCATCCATATAGCAGCTAGGCTGATGTTCTTAAAAAGAAATGAGTACCCTCTAAAGTCTTCTTTGGAGGTCTAGTTGCATAGTCCTTAGTTTATAATACTCTTAGTCCAAAGGGAGCACATCTCTGGTGGCTCACATCTCAGAGAGAAAGATAGGCAGTCTCCCTCATTTGGATTTATAGACTTAGAAACTCATTGAAGTGTCTCTGTAAGTCAGAACTGTTCAATGGCAATAAGAATGAGTGGGTGAAAAATTTTTAAAATTAAATAATAGTTTTGCTTAGCTAGTAGGAAATATTTGTCTTGAGCACTATGGTATTAGTTTAAAAGTTGGCTTTTCTAGCCTTTACATGAGCCTCCACTGGTCTCTAGCAACCTTAACTGGACACATTGTCTTGCAAATTATCATCAGCTGTGGGATTAGGATAAGAGAGAGAGTGCTTGCCACACTATGTATAGAGCAAGACCTGGTGAGAGTGAGATGGTGCAAAACCCTGCTGAGAATGAGACCCCAGTGATGACAGTGGTGAAGAGATTGTGGTGAGACTGTTGCATTGCTGTGGTGAGACTGTGGCAAGGTGATTGAAGGAGAACCTGACTCATAACTGCTCTGAGGCAAACTTTGCTGGATGATTGTAGAAACCAGAGGTTTCTGAATGTGTTGCTAAACTGAAACCAGTACTTTTATTAAGGAATTTTGTTGCTTTTGATCTGGTTTAGGACTGCTGGATTAAGCCTGGACTTGCATTGTGAGATATTCTTTGCCTCTCTCACTCTCCAACTTACTCTTTCCCTTATAAACTCTACTTTTGGTACCACAACTGTCATTAAAGTCTGTGAATTGACAGAGAATGTTGAACCCAGTGACTGATGAAAAGAAGTGCAGGAGCATGGGGGTGGCATATCTGACCCAGCAGCTATCTCTTTGTTGCTATGGATATTATTAATAGGGAAAGTTCCTTTTTATAAAACAGGAAGAAGTCAGACCTGGCCATCCCCACATTTCATCTGCTCCTTTTACAAGCACTTAATATTTTAGGATCTGGTCCTGTGAGAACAGATTGACAATAGCAGCTTCATAAGTATGTAGGAAGCTTAGAGGATGTGAGTTCATGTAACGGTGAAGAACCACTTGGAAAAGGAAGATGAAAACTGTTGCACAACTCAAACAATGTATATGCTCTGCTGTGTATGTTCTAAACAACAAAAACAAAATAAATTATATATTTTAAAAAGAAATAGAATTAGAAATTCTTTATGATGAAAAATAAATTATAAGAAAGAAAGAAAAAAAAAAAGGAAATCTCACCACATCACTCTTGTTTCTCTCTTGACTTTCCCTAGAACACTTTATTCCTCCTTCTTAGCTCCAGGACAAATTCTAATCTGCTGTGTGTCCTTTCTTGTCTGTTCTGGCTTGGTCTCTAGCCTCCATTATTTGCTATGCTCCATCAACACCCATTTGTCTTTTTCTCTCTTTGTTCATTCTACTGCTGCTTCTTGTCTTCACTATCTCCTTTCCCATCACTTGACTAGCCGTGCCTTCAAAACTCATCTTGGATCTATATGTATTGGATCAGATTGAGAGGAGAAACTTGTAGGGCAATGACTTTGTGTTAATCAGGAAGAAATATCTCAGAAAAGGAGGATGAAATGGGTATGTAACTAAAAAACTGTAAATTACATCACTGTTGAATTGGCATATGTTCTCAACAACAACAACAAAAAAAAACCCACAGCAAAACCAAAAACCCACCCTCATCTTGGAGAAGCTGTCCCCATCACTCTCTCCATAGTCTAGATTATGTCATTTCACAGCTAAAGAAGAAAGTACATTGGACATTTTTTTACTACAGAATGGTGAAACTCTATTGTCAGAAAAATTTTATTTACTCTTATCCTCTGTAAACCAGAAACTCATTGAAGTCTTGAATTTTTTTAAGAATCATTTTTGTAGTACCATCATTTATCACAGTATCTAATACATAGTGGGTACTTTAATACATGTTTATTGTGAGGAATGAATTCTTGAGAAAATGGTGGTGGTTTTTGCAGGGATGGCCAATCAGGAAAGATAACAGTGGATGATTATGGAGCCAGAACAGGCAAGTCACCTGGCATGATGAGGCAGCTCAACATCAATGGAGCTCTGTACGTGGGTGAGTGTCCCGTGACCAGATCCAAATTCCACCCTGTCTGTCTGTCACTCTGGGGCTCCCTGTAGCTACACATGTCACTGCATCTGACAAATTCCTGGAAATCAGGAAGCTCTCAAGCTTTCCTATTCTTCCACTTCCTGAACTCCTGACTCATGGCTGAAGGCAGGAAGGGAATCACTTTGATACCTCTGTGCATTGGACTAATCCATCAGGAAAACCATGCTTGTTCTTCTTGTTATAGAGTAGGACGCTTCTAAATATAGCTCTATGAATTGTCACTAACTGAGGAAAGAGAATCCACCTTTCAGGTCCTCTCAGATATAAGTGAGTAATATTTCTATAAATTGCATATCACCCACGAGGATGTCCACCTAAAATATAAGCAGTTGCTGTTATTTATAACCAAAGGCCACCTTCATATTTCCTGAATTTGATAGCATTCAAACTCCTTTGAAACATCACTCTGTTCCCTTTAGTTTAAGACATTATCACCTGTATTTACACACTGTGCTTTGTTGACATACACTATACCAAAATTTAGGAAATTGTATTTGGCTTCAGGACGGTGAATTAACACGCATCACAGAAGTGTCTCTGCCCTCTGGTTGTCTATCAAATTGACCTAAGCCAACTTACTCTTTTGAAGATAATGATAAAATAGACACATGATAGATTGAGTAAAGGGGGACCAAAGCCCTCACCTGCTGTCAGCGAAGGGATGCCTCAGTGATAAGCACTCAGGTGCCCTGGAGAAGCCCCGGTTCTTCTGTCAGAGACTTCTCCTTCGGCTCATGCTGTCTCTCTCTTGCTTGACTGCAGGTGGAATGAAGGAAATTGCTTTGCACACTAACCGACAATACATGCGAGGCCTCGTGGGCTGTGTCTCTCACTTCACCCTGTCTACTGATTACCACATCTCCCTCGTGGAAGATGCCATGGATGGGAAAAACATCAACACGTGTGGCTCCAAGTAACGCCAGCTGGCCTTGCCCAAGGGACAGAGCCTTCTATCCTGCAAACCCTGGGGCCTGGAGACCCTGCCTGACACCACACTCGCAGGCACTGGGGCCAGAGGTGCTTCGCATCACCACAGAAAAAGAGTGCCTGAGAACCTGAAAAGGAAGGCAGGAGTCTCCAGTGGCCTGCCCTGCTGACAGGCTGTGGACCAAACCAGATGGAAGACTGCAGGAAGCATTGGGCTTGGTGCATCGAGTGTGCAGTGGCTGCCAGCCACCACACGTCACTGCAAGCCCCAGAGCCTGTCTGTTGTAGCTCAGTGACTGCACTGTGACTCATAGTGCATTAAAAAAAAAAAAGAGGAGACACAAACCCAAAGGGCAGTATTAAAATACTTCTCGCCTTCCCTGACTCATGCCACGCTTACTGACGGCAAAATGACTGGTGACCTTGGCCCTCACATTTCCCGCCTTGGCTAGGGAAATGTCGGATTAACCCTTTCGGCCCCTCACTGTATTGCTATGCCATGGTAATAAGGGTGTGTAGGGGGAGACTAAGCCCAGGATCATGACCGTAATGTTGTGCCCCACCTCACAAAGTTGACCTTCAGTTCTCTGGCCCTTTTTTTATAACGCAGGTGGAGGACAGTGGGCGCATGGTTTTCTAGCCGTACTTTTCTAAGTGTCTATTTTTATAGCTACAGCCCATCCATGCGGTTTCCTTCTGGAAGTTTGAGTGGATGACCCTGAATTTGCACACTTTCCTGAAAACTTTTCTCCCCAAGAAGACTTGTTGATGGGGCCCTTTCAATGTCAGTGGAGGAGGGTAGGGAACTCGGGTGGCAGCTTGGTGAGGTGACCATTCTCTCAGCAAATACTGATGGCTCAAGGAGAGGAATGCAAAGCTTTCTGGAATAAGCAGATTAAATGGAACACATGTTACTGAGGTGGGTCACTGTCATTTTTATTTAAAGAGAGGGAATATCTGAGGCCACTGTGAATGAAGGGGAGGAAAGAGCTAGAATTCTCTATCATTCATTCATTCGTTCACTCACAAAGGTATTAGGAGTCCTTGCAGAGACCCTGTATGTAGATGGGTTATATAACTAATCTACCATGCCTCCTTCCTTGTGACTCAGGAAGATGGCATTATGTGATTCTGGAGGCGGGGGGAATGTCCTCACCCCACTTCTTCAGAACCACCAGCTGTACCCCTTGGCCTCTCATCCATCTGACCCTGGGGACAGCTGGCTCCCTTGCAGGTCCCCCTGACGTGCGTTACCAAGGAAATGACAAGATGAGCGCTGACTCCAAAGAGGAGAGAGAGAGCATCCAACACACACCCAGTCTATAATTAATCCCCAGCTGTGACCCTACTCTTGTTTGTGTAACATCCATTCAGTCAGGACTTTTTCACATTGTACAAAGTCCACTTACAGGCACATCGTGCATTGAGCTGCTAACCAGAAGGTCAGCAATTCAAATCCACCAGCAGTTTGAAACTCCATGAAGAAAGCTAGCTAATCTCCTCTTACAAAGATGTACAGCCTAGGGAACTGGATGGAACGTCTTCCTGAGCAAGAATCGACTGGATAGCAGAGGGTCTGGGTTTAAGGACTTAAAAAGATGTCTCAACCTTCAACCTCCTATGGTTTGGGATCCTTTAATAATAAGTCTCTATCTCATTGCCATTGTTCAGAACCAAATTTTAGCTGATGCACCAGCAAATTTTCAGAGGCTATAAATCACATGGGAGGAGATTGTTCATCTTTCTCCCATAGATTTGAACTGCCTACCTTTAGGCTGCCAACACAACACCTACCCATTTGGCCATCAGCGCTCCCTAAAATAACAGTAATTCATGATAATAATTCATTCTTTCCTACCCATTTCTCCTCATGAGTACAATTGACTACAAATGAGTACAAATGAGTAGAAAATGAATCCTGTTACCCCTCAAGCACCCGCCCTCACTATAAATGCCTCTTCCCTGAACACTGCGGGGGCTGGAGCTTCCCAAGATAGAATGGAGTTGCTTTGACAGCACACTTATAATAGACTGTCTCCAGCCAAAAATTTCATGGTGATTTTGACAGAGTATCCAGCTGAGCTGAAGCCAGAAGGGTTGTATTGGTGTTCCAGGCGAGTTGTCTGGAGGTGAATGCAGTGACCCACAGACAGGACCTGGGAGGGTACACTGAAGCTGGAGAGAGGAAGCCAAGCCGTCTTCCTTCTGGGTGGGCTGCAGATGCAGGATGAAGCCTGGCTAGCAGAAGGGAACCCCCGAGAGACTGAATGCATGGAAAGCTCAGGCTAGAAAGTGGATTAAAACCAAAAAACCCAAAACCTCTGCCCCATAGGGTGGCCAAGGCTGTAAAGATTTATGGAAGCCAACTGTGACATCTCTCTCCTGGGGGCTTGCATTTTGCATTACCAGTCTTTTGGTTGCTCTTTAATCAGGGTTCCTTAAAGAAGCAGGTGGTTGTATTACCATCAAGTCAGAACTGACCCTCCAGCAGGTTTGCAGAGGCTTTTAATCACACAAGAGGAGATTGCCCATCTTTCTCCCTTGGAGCAGCTGGTGGATTTAAACCATGTGCCTTCAGGATTGCAGCACAGCTTCTTGCCACTAGGCCACCAGAAGTGGCAAGGGTCCTTCACCCTCCCCACGAACAAAAGCTAGGAGATGCAGGATCATTTTATAGCAGAGGTGGTTGTGAGAACAAAGACTTTGTTCTAAGAGTTCACAAAGGCAAGAGGGCTTGGAAGAGCTTAACTAGAGTTTGGGAGTACCCTCATTTTCTCTGGAAGTATATCTGTCATCTCTCACTACAGCCATGCAGATGAACTAACCGCCATCCAGACTCCGAGCACAGAGCAAGAATTGCTGCTACATCCTGGGGAGTCAGCTTGGCTGGGCTTCACTGGGTGGTTCTTCTGGCCTCTGCTGGATTTACTCACATTTGTGGATTGGCTAACCTAGCATGGCCTAGACTGCCAATAGATGACTGGAAATCTGTTCCATGTGTCCTTCTTCGTAAGACAGTGGGCTAACGTAAGCATGCTCTTCTCATACAAGAGGGCAAGAGCTCACAAGGAATTGGGTAAAGCCTTTTAGGGCCTAAATTTGGAATGGCCAGCTATTAATTCAGGCACTCATTGCTGTCCAATCAGGACCACTCAGAGCTGACCTTTCAATGAGTTTTCAGAGGCTTTAAGTTGCATGGGACACTGGAGAACAATGATGTCAATCTTGACACTAAGGTGTCACTGATCCAGGCCATAGTCATTGCTTGCTATGCATTAGAGAGCTGAGCAAAGACTAGGGATTGCTATGCGTTAGAGAGCTGAACATAGACTAGAGATGATAGAAAATTGATGCCTTTGAGCTGTGACCCTGGAGAAGAGTATTGAATATCCCATGGACTGCTAGGAGAACAGATGGGTTCATCCTGGAGAAGGTGAAGCTAGGCTGCTCCTTGGAGGAAAGGATTCTGAAGCTTCATGTGACATACTTTGGGCATGTTGCAACAAGGTACCAATCCTTGGAGAGGAACGTAATGCTTGGAAGGGTGAAGGGACCGTGTAGGAGAGGAGGACCCTCAGTGAGATGGATTGATTCAGTCACTGGGACAAAAGGGGTAGGTGTGCCAGAGACACTAAGGTTGGCACAGGATAGAGCAGTTTGAGGGCTGTTGGGCATAGGATCTCTCTGAGTCACAAGCGACTTGACTGCACATCACAGAAGCAAGTTGCACCGGAGATTGCCTGTCTTTCTCAGAGCTCCTTGTAGATTCGAATCCCCAGAGAGGTGCCGTCTTGAGATTAGCAGCACAACTCCCTATGGACTGTGCCACCAGGCTCCCTAGTTCAGCCACTTACTACAGCCAATCTTGTAAAGGCTGGAAACTGGGTAAGATGCACATTTGTCCGAACAGAAAAAAATTCATTTCCCACTGAAATGAGTTGTTGCTGTTGATTGCCTTCGAGTCTAGCACGACTCATAGCGACCCTATGAACAAAATGCTTAAAGCCCCTCTATAACTATCGACATTTATCAAAGTTTATAGAGTTTCCAGAGGCATGCTATTTAGGAAGTGGATGCCACTCCTGCTTCCAAACCTATCATAGTAGTTTATTGTTTTTATATACCATTGAGTCGCTTGTGATGTAGAGTGACCCTATGTACAGCAGCTCTGAACCCTTCCCTGTCCTGAGCCAGTCTCACTAATACCAACACACCAACCCCACCAACCCTCACCACCCCAGTTACTGTATCAATCCATCTCATCCGGGGCCTCCCTCTCCTGAGCTGTCCATATGCCTTTCTGAGCTTGTTGTCCTTCTCCAAGGATTGATCTCTCCTGGCCACATGCCCAAAGTAAGTGAGGTGGAGCTTCAAAATCCTAGCCTCCAAGGAGAGACTTGGTTTCACCCTCTCCAAGATAGACTGATTTGTTTTCTTGGCAGTCCATGGTATGTTCAAGACTCTTCTCCAGTACCACAACTCGAACGCATCTATTCTTCTTCTGTCATCTTTAGTCATTGTCAAAAAAACCCTCAAACTCATTGCCATCCTGTAGAGTCAGCCAATCACAACTCAGCTGATGCTCCATCGGGTTTTCAGATGCTGTGAATCTCATGGAAGGAGATTGCTCCTCTTTCTGTCCAGGAGCAGCTGGTGGATTTGAACTACCAAAGAGGTACAGCCTTTGGGTTAGTACAAGTCCTACAGACAACACCACCAGAGCTAGAATAAAATGTTAAGATTGCAGCTTGCCGAAGGTGGATATCTTGTGAGAACCTAGCAGAACTAGGCAGCTTCACTGAGGTCCAGCTCTCACACTTCATTGCATCAGTCAAAGTAGCTAATGTGCTCGGCTGCTAACTGAAAGGTTGGAGGTTCAAATCTACCCAGAAGCAAGACACCTGATTAATTTTTTTTTTCCCTCCTGGAATACCATGCACTGAAAACCCACACCGAGCACAGTGCTGTGCTCACATTCACAAGGGCTCTTCTGTGTCACAGCTTGTGATGAATGGACAATCTGGAGAAATGAAGAAAGGGACCCTGCTTTCCTAGAGGACCGCCAGAGTCAGCTGGCAAAGGACAGGGGCAGACAGGCAGTGAAGAGGTGGGTTGTGGATGCGGTCAACCTTGCAGAGAGAGTATGTGAGGTTGAAGGGAGGGACAGCGGCAGAGCCCCTGGGGGTGGATGGGAAGAGGGCTGTGCTGCCAGTTCCCTCCAGTCCTGTCTCTCGGGCGGGCCCCTGGCTCTTCCACCTGCCGCCTGACATTTGGTGGCTGGGTTGTGGTCTTGAGGGGGCGGTTCTGATCTGGCTCTGTGCCCTGCTGTGGGCCTGGTTGGCACAAGCTGTCTGAGCCCTTGACTCTAGCATGGTTTGGGGGGTAGCCAGGGAGCTCAGAGGTTAATGCACTTCTCTTCCTGCCCCGAGAGGAAGAATATAATGAGGCCTGGGTTCCTGAAAAGCTTTTGTTCCCCCAGTCAGGAGC